TCCCTGGTCGGCCCCGGTGGTGCTGGCCAAGAAGAAATACTGTATATTGCGATTCTGCATGGACTTATGGCAGCTAAATCATATCACCAAAAAGACGTTTATCCATTGCCTCGCAAAAAAAAAAAAAACTTAATGAAATATAAAATGATTATGATACTAATAATGATTTAATATCAATAATGCAAATATTTGTTTATAATGCATTAGTGCGCCATTTGTTATGAAAATACGAAACTATTATAGACGCGTATGATTATTATTTTTTTAATTTAAAAAAAATCTACTGCAATTGAAAAATTAAACGAGATATTCAAAACCCAGGTTCCTGGAGCGCAAAACGCCAATTACCCGGGGAGTCCAGCTCACTAGTACGGACTAGTGCTGAGCGCATTTACTCGGGTCCTGTTTTGATTGTTGAGTTGAACCAGTTGACCAGGAAGTTCCATGCTGAGATTATGTCTGGAAGGCTGGCCATAGATCTAGGATTGAGGTGGGTCAGTCCAATCAGGATAGCTGTTTGTATTCTATGTCTTAGGAATGCTGGACAGCTGAAGAGGAGATGATCAACTGTTTGTGGCTCTTCTGAACAGTTGATGCAGGTGGGGTCTGTTTCGGAATGAAACGTGAAATGTCTTCCAATACAGGCCTGTGAGGATGGTGGTGGGGGACCTCTTCATGACAGATTTTTGGTAGGAATTTAAGGAGATGGCTTGCAGTTGCAGCAATTCTTCTTAGGGATCTGGTCGAGTAGTCTTGGAAATATAATACAGTCAATAATGATAGGGCAGCCTTACGTGTTAGGTTTCAAGCATGAATTCGAGGCAGGGTGGAGTATGAGTGTGATAGGACAGAAGTAGCGCCAATTTTTGCTGAGAGTCTGCTAGTTCATTGCAATTAATTCCAGTGTGTCTGGGGACCCAGCACAGCCTGATGTAAGGAGCTCTGTCAAGGACTTTTATTATATTTGCCACTAGCGATGTAAGTGTTGTCCAAAGGAGTAGATAGCTGCTAAAGCGGATCTACAGTCCAAGGCAATGGTCACTGATGTTTTGGTTGGGCTAGTCTCCGCGATTTGAGCTGCCCAGATAATTGCTAAGAGTTCAGGTTGAAAGGCAGTAGTGTCTGGGTGATGCCGTTGAGAACTGGTTGATGTTCTAGGGAAGGTAAGATAATCGCAGCACCAACGTCTGAATCACTTTCTGACCCATCTGTGAAAATTAGTGGCGTTGTTACATCTTCTAGGTTCAAACTGAAGGAAAGGGGTCGTCTGAATGGGGGGTATGACAGCTCAGTGCGTCCTGGCTTTTATTCATAGTTTCCCTCCTTGATCTCCTTTACGACAAAAATACATATTTATCAAATAATAATACCTCTTTTCCAAAATATTGTACAGTAGAACCTTCTTTCAGCGGAAACCCCGCTAGCGGACACCTCTCCTTGCAAAATTACCATTTTTACTATTAAGCAACTCTCCGGTAAGAGGACACTTCTCCCTAAAGAACAGTTTGACTCTGCAATTAGCTGTCCTTTACAGGGAGGTAGTTATACAGTAATAAAATAAACTACAAATAAATATTTTACCTACTGCCATTGAACATTTTTTGAAATATAAGTGAAATTAAAAGTCAAAAAGAACCATCATTTATTGAGAGTGAAGAGATAAAATATTTGGTAAAAAAATAATATCACTAAACAGTTGCCCATCATTTACACCTCGCCTCCTATACACACCTCGCCGTTTTAATTTTTCTGTTCATATATATCTAACTGTTCAATGGCAGAAATTACAATATTTATTGATTTATTTTATTCAAATTTTAATGAGATATTTTTTAGATTTCAAAATAAATTTGAAAACTTTTAATAAATATCAGAAATGGATGCCGTTCTCTACTGATTTATGAAATGAATAATATAATAAATTGGCGCTACTTCTGTCCTACCACACTCATAATCCACTCTGCCTCGAACTCATGCTCTAAACCTGACACGTCAGGCTGCTCTATCATCATGGACTGTATTATATTCCCAAGACCATTTGACCAGATCCCTCAAGAGAATTTTTCTACTCCAAACCTCCTCAAATTTCTACCAGAAATCCGCCACGGAGAAGCCCCCACCACCATCTTCACCGGCCATGGCCATCTACTGGCAGACATTACACGTGTGCATCCCTAAACAGGACATACCTGCATCCACTGTTAAGAAAAGCCACAGGAAGTTTATCATTTCCTCTTCAGCTGTCCAACGTTCCTAAGACCTAGGATACAAACAGCTGTTTGGACTGACCCACCTCAAACCTACATTTATGGTCAGCCTTTCAAACTCAAACGCAGCATGAAACTTCAACTGGTTCAACTCAGCAATCAAAACAGGACGCGAGTAAAAGCGCTCAACACTAGTCAATAATAGTGAGCTGGAGTCCCCGTGAAGTTAGCGTTCTGAGCTTCCTGGGTTCTAAATATCACTTCTAATAAATAGATAATGCCTTTAGGGCTTCAATTTAATATCAATTTAGAGGTATTAAAACTTGAAATTAAATTACAAATGCTAAATAAAACCTCCTTTTTCACAGATAAGTATTAAAATTTGAAAATATACTTTTATTCAATTGGTTATTACCCTAGTTTTCATGCGTACATGTGTCATAATTCCCATGATACAAATATCAACATCACCTGGTGTTCCAAAATAGTAAAATTGTGATACATAACCCAGGCTCCTGGAGCGCAAAATAAAATATAAAATTCTGATTAAATAAATTTGTTACAAATTAAACAGAATATATTATAACAATATATATTTATATATGGCTGATATTGATTTCACACATTATTCTGTTAGTTGATATTTCTGAGTTCATTTCACTTGTGTAATCTATATATCTTTGATTGATAATATTTGTAGGCTCCAGGAACATAAGAAATTAATTAGAGAAATATAAAAAAAAGTATTTGGAAAATAATAATTTTGATATCAATCAAAAAATTAAATTTGTTTTGAGATGTCAGAAAGAAAAAAAGCAAGATAGATTACTTTGACATCGTTCATATAGAAGAATGCTCTATCTGTCTGTTCGATATCAAGGAAAGAGCATTCCCAGAATGTTGCCAACATCAGTTCTGTCTGGAATGCTCAAAAGAAGCCGCGAAACATCGAAAAACATGTCCTTTTTGTCGCGGTGAATTTAAAAGAATCATTTTCAATGTCCGTAGCGTTAGTGATTATGACACAATCACTGTAGAGAGGCCCCAAAATGCTACAATAGACGGAATTCTCAGTAGAATTGAAGACTTATGTGAAGAACACATTGAACTACGTATTGAGGCACTTTTTTGGAGACAATAAAATTTGAGACTGCGAAGACATATAGCCACTTTAAGAATACTAAGACAAATGCTTCTAGAACAACATGGTGAAACTGATGCAGTCCACCAAAGACATAGAGAATCTGACCATGATGGCCTGGAAATTGATGCTGAGAGACAAATAACTACAGATTCAAATAATGAACCTGAAATATAAACATGTCACCTCTGAAGAAATAGCAATTAGAATTCTGTGTACCAGAAACTGCTGTAGGCCTTTAACAAAGAAAGAGATTTAAAAAAAAATTGACTTTATTTATAGTTCTACTAATGCATCAAATATTCGATATGAATTGAAAATATAATGTTATTATATATTTTTGTATATATTATTTTTGTAAAATATACTAAAATAATAAACCTTTTTGTGTTTGATGCTGGGAAAATATTTGTAATTCAAAGCATATCTCTCTCTATATAAAAGTTAAAGCATCTATATAATATTAATATGTTATGCTTATTTTATTTTGTTTTTGAAAAAAATAAAGAATTGGAAGTGCAGTCGTAAAAATATAAAATATTATTATTTACCCATCAAAAAGTTTTTATTTTGAATTACTTGAAGCAAATTACACATGCAATTATTTTTCACAGTAAAATAGAATTTATAAAATGAATTCTATATTCGTGAATTAAAAAATGGGTAGGTTGACTATACTTATTTACAACAATATTCAAAGTGTTATGTTCTAAATCTATGGTCAAAAATAAAAGAACAGTCAATGAATGAAAATAAATTATTGTTTTTAAAAAATAAAATATTTGCATTTTAGATTATATAATATGTTATGAATAATTTATTTGTTATTAGATAAAAGATTGATAAGACAAATAATCGATAAGATAAAGGTGCAGTCGTAATAAAAAATATAATTATTTACCATTTAGTAGTTTTTATTTTCAATTAATTGAAAAAATATTACACATTAATTATTTTCACAATTATGTAGAATTTATAAAGTTAACTAGCCGAATGACCCGGGCAACGCCCAGATTTTACTCGATTAAATGCTTTTATTCAAATACTATTCATTACAATTATGAATTGGCGTCGTGGATGTCATTCTTTTAAAACGTCCCGCTCCAAACTTTGTGTCTGAGAAGCGATATTTTTATAAAGAGATGATCTGGCTTTGTGTCTTCTGCTCGAATGAATGTTTTTCTGTTAGAATTTTGTTCCTGTATACTAAATATGAAGTGGCTTCACCCGTGGTCTCTGCTTTTTGGAATTTTACCGGATATAATTTAGTATCAGATAATCAAATATGATACAGCAATATTGTCTTCATCCTCTTCTGAATAAAAAACAACTACTTTTTTTCCCAGAACCTGTCAATTTATTTTTCTTGACTAAAAATCCAAAAATATATTTTCCTGATTTTTCTCTATGTCCTGTTAAAACACGTTTTACATCTCCATTAGGTCAGTTGATATTACCTCCCATCTTCACCGCTAGAGGCTCTGCTTGCGAGCGAAAGGGCAAATTTGCAACGCAATTTGCAAATAACTTGTATACATACTTGTATACTTGAGTACATAGACCATAAATCTGTACATATATATATATATAGACAGGAAAAGCACATTAAATTTAATAATATAAATTAGTTTTAAAAATTGTATTAAAAAAAATGCATCCACCGGGAATCCAAACCGGGGCGCCCGCATGGCAGGGGAGCATTCTACCACTGAACCAAAAGCAAACGGTGACAGAATTGTTGATGACTCTGATACTTGTATATTTTAATAATTAATTAGTCAGCATTCCCATGGTCTCCAGTGAAGAGGTGTGAATTGACATTTTGAAAATATACATAATTATAAAGATAGAAGCTTCTATAGAAAATTCTAAAATATGCCGAAATAGCTCAGTTGGGAGAGTGTTAGATTGAAGATCTAAAGGTCCCTGGTTTGATCCTGGGTTTTGGCATCTTTTTTTAATATTTTAATTTTTTGAAACGATTACAGAATTGATGCCTCTGATACTTATATATATGAATTTTAAATTTTTACTTACCGTAACTTGACACGTGATTTAACGTGACAGAATTGTGCATGACTCTGAAAACTGTATACAGTGGTACCTCGACATACAAGTTTAATTCGTTCCGCAACCTTGCTCGTATCTTGAATTACTCGTATCTCGAGGTAATTTTCCCCATACAAAACAATTGAACTACCATTAATCTGTTCCAACCTCCAAAATGTCACCCCAGTTATTTTTGTTACGTGGTTTTGAATAATAAAAACGTATTTATAAATATCAAATATTTATTGCACAAAACAAAAAAGAGAATGTAAAGAAATAAATTAGATATCCTCACTGGTCTTTGCCTTTTTAGCTACATTTTTCTCGCTTTCACCTGTAGGCCGTTTAGAAAAAAACATGTCAAAGGAGGTTTGTTTCTTCCTCCCTCTCAGAATGTTCCGGAAATGAGTTAGGCAAGTGTCATTAAAAAGGTCAGATGCACGACCTGTATCGCTCTTGCCTTCTCACAAATGATGGTCTGCGTCAAGGTATCTACTTGGAGCTGCTTTTCTGTCACCCACACCATCAGCAGTTTCTCCATATTTTCATGAAGGAGGTTCGCAGCTTGGAAATTATCGTAAGGCCCTTAGCCGGCGTTACACTCTTTATCAACTACTTCCGTTTAAGCACAGAACATATCATGGACGTATTACGGCCATACTGCTTCGACAAGTCAACAACTCGGACACCTTGCTCATGTTTTTCTATAATTTACGTTTTAATTCAATACTCATCATCTTTTTCTTTGCACTTGACTTTTTACAAACTTTCTTTCGATCCATGGTTATAAAAATAAATGAGTTAAAACTGTAAATGTAAACGCAACACAAAACACAACTTATCACAGCGGAAGCACGCTGCTAACTGATCGTGAAGACGCGACTGCGTGTTACTACCTGTTGTGTTTAACTTTAAAAGCACACAAAAATATAATAAACTTGAATTTGTTTATTCAAGTCTCAAAAAACAAAGCTTTGCATATAGAACAAATAATAATGAAGAAGAAGAAAGAAACATTTTAGGAAAAGCAAAAACAAAACAAAAGTACTGGTCAAAAAGAAACATTCAAAATCATAGATTAAAATCTTCAACACTACTGAACCGAACTCGTATCTCGAATTCGCTCGTAACTAAAAGCAAAAAATCACTTGCTCGTCGGCTCGTATCTCGAAAAACTCGTATGTTGGGGCGCTCGTATGTCGAGGTACCACTTTATATTAATCCTATATTAGCTATTCAAAAAGATATGTTAACTACGCATATTTACGACAAAACTGAAAGTCAAAAACCATCTAAAAAAATCAGAATTATATTAAATGAAAATAAAATACATATTTTTAAAATACAGATATATTTGAATTTATATATATATATAAAAATCGTACAAATGTAATATTGTACTGGGAAAAGGTCCACAAATTAAGAAAAAGGCATCTCCTTTTTTCGTGCAACTGAAAGTTGCTAATGGCTTGCGCCATCTATCGGAATAAATATCAACTATTCTCGTTGATTTTTAATTATTCCAGAATTGGCCAAATACCGATTCTTGATTAATCAAGAAAAGCTAACCACGGACGTGTTTCGGGCTGTTGGCCCTCATCAGCGTGGTGCAAGCTGTACCTCAACGACCAAAAAAATTGGTCATTAAGGCATCCTGAAAATCATGAAACAGGTAGTTAAGGCCAGAATTGCGTGAGAACGCTACACAATGTGAAAAATAGTACAAATGTAATATTGTACTGGAATAAGGTCCATAAATTAAGAAAAAGGCATCTCCTTATCATGCAACTGAAAGTTGCTAATGGCTTGCGCCATCTTCTCACGCCTATTGATCTCACGATGAGAAACGCAATCAAGGTACAGAACAAATTGAAACACAAAATTCACACCGGCGACCATCCCCCTATAAAGCAGCGCCCATATCGGGTATCAAAGACAATCAGAGAAATAGTCCTGAATGAAGTCGAGACCATGCTTGAAAGAAAGGTAATCTAGCCATCTGAGAATCCCTGGTCGGCCACAGTGGTGCTGGCCAAGAAGAAAAACTGTATATTGAGATTCTGCATGGACTTATGGCAGCTAAATCATAGCACCAAAAAGACGTTTATCCATTGCCTCGCAAAAAAAAAAACTTAATGAAATTTAAAATGATAATGATACTAATAATGATAATTTAATATCAATAATACAAAATATTTGTTTTATAATGCATCAATGCGACATCTGCAATGAAAATTCGAAACTATTATAGAGGCGTATGATTATTTAAAAAATAAAACAATTTTCTACTGCAATGAAAATTAAACGAGATATTCAAAACCTAGGTTCCTGGAGCGCAGAACGCTAACTACCCGGGGAGTCCAACTCACTAGTATGGACTAGTGCTGAGCGCATTCACTCGGGTCCTGTTTTGATTGTAGAGTTGATCCAGGCTGAGATTGAGTCTGGAAGGCTGGCCATAGATCTAGGATTGAGGTGGGTCAGTCCAATTAGAATAGCTGTTTGTATCCTATGTCTTAGGAAGGCTGGATAGCTGAAGAGGAGATGATCAACTGTTTGGGGCTCTTCTGAACAGTTGATGCAGGTAGGGTCTGTTTATAATATGAAATATAATACAGTCAATGATGAAAGGGCAGCTTTACGTGTTAGGTTTCGAGCATGAATTCGAGGCAGGGTGGAGTATGAGTGTGATAACACCGAAGTATCGCCAATTTTTGCTGCACAGTCTGCTAGTTCATTGCCATTAATTCTAGTGTGTCCGGGTACCCAGAACAGCCTGATGTAAGGAGCTTTGTTAAGAACCTTTATTATATTTGCCTCAAGCGATGTAAGTGTTGGTCAAAAGGAGTAGATAGCTGCTAAAGCGGATCTACAGTCCGAGGCAATGGTCACTGATGTTTTGATTGGGCTAGTCTCCGCGATTTGAGCTGCTAAGAGAATTGCTAAGAGATCAGCTTGAAAGGCAGTGAAGTCTAGGTGAAGCCGTAGGTGAACTGGTTGATGTTATGGGTTGTGATGGGTATGGCAGCGCAGTTAGTCCTGGCTTTTATTCATAGTTCCCCTCCTTGATCTCCTTTACGACAAAAATATATATTTATCAAATAATAGAACCTATTTTGAAAAATATTGTACAGTAGAAACTCCATGAGAGAACATCCCGCTAGCGGACACCTCTCAATAATGGACAGTTTTCATTCTAAAAATTACCATTTTTATTATTTAGCAACTCTCCGGTAAGAGTACACCTCTCCCTAAAGGACACTTTGGCTCTGAAATTAGGTGGTGTCATTTACAGGGAGGTAGTACTACAGTAATAAAATATATTACAAATATATATTTTAGCTACTACCATTGAACAATTTGTTTGAAATATAAGTAAAATTAAAAGTCACAAAGAACGATCATTTATTGAGAGTGAAGAGATAAAATATTTGATGAGAATATAAAATCACTAAACAGTTGCCCATCATATATGATCACATCAAATTTGAAATTTCCACCTAGCCGTTTTTATTTTTATGTTCCTATAAATATAAATGTTCAATGGCAGTAATTACAATATTTATTGATTTATTTTGATTAAATTTTAATGATATATTTTCTATTTTTCAAATTAGATTTGAAAATTTTAAATAAATATCAGAAATGAATGTCGTTCTATAATTCATTTATGCTTATGAGGTGATACAGCAGCGTATTTACAATTAGAGAGGAGACAAAATGAATTAAATCTAGAAAAAAGAAATGAGGACATATTGGTCGTTCTATAATGATTCATGAAAGGGATAATTTTCTAATAAATTGGCGCTACTTCTGTCCTACCACACTCATACTCCACCCTGCCTCGAACTCATGCACGAACCCTAACACGTAAGGCTGCTCTATCATCATGGACTGTATTATATTCCCAAGATCATTTGACCAGATCCCTCAGGAGAATTGCTTCTACTCCAAACCTTCTCCTCAAATTCTACCAGAAATCCGCCATGGAGAGGCCCCCACCACCATCCTCACCGGCTATGGCCATGTTCTGGTAGACATTACACGTGTGCATCCCTAAACAGACCCTACCTGCATCCACTGTTCAGAAGAGCCACAGTCAGTTTATCATCTCCTCTTCAGCTGCTCAGACATTAGGATACAAACAGCTGTTTGAAATGACCCACCTCAATCCTACATTTATGGTCAGTCTTGCAGACTCAACCGCAGCATGGAACTTCAACTGGTTCAACTCAGCAATAAAAACAGGACGCTAATAAAAGCGCTCCCATAGTTATAAATATATCTCTTTTAATAAATATATAATGCATTTAGGACCTCAATTTAATATCAATTTAGAGGTATTAAAACTTGAAATTGAATTACAAATGCTCAATAAAACTTCCCTTTTCACTAAAAGTTATTCAAATTTGAAAGAAAATACTGGTTATAATCCTAGGTTTAAGCCTACATGTGTCATAATTCCCATGATACAAATATTTGGTTCAGTTGGTGTTCAAAAATAGTAAAATTGTGATATATAACTCAGGCTCCAGGAGCACAAAATAAAAGAAGATATGCTAATTAAATAAATTTATTACAAATAAAAAAGAATATATTATAACAATATAAATTTACATATGGCTGATATTGAATACACACATTATTCTTTTAGTTGATATTTCTGAGTTCA